GAAAGATAAGTTAGGAGATAGTCAGAGTATAATTTCTTTATTGTATTGCTCAATTAATTGTTATACTTCTATAATTTGTGTGTGTTTAGGAGTCCAGAATTACATCTATTCCTCATGCTAAACCTATTTGATGATTGCTCCTGTCATAGCTATATTATTTTTCCACCATAATTAGAAAAGCAACACTGCTTTCTCTTAGGAATATTTTTTTCTCCAAGTGATATCTATATATCTGCCTCTGTTATTCACAGAATTATCTTGGTCTCTGACTGCTGCTGCTGTTTATTGGTGCTACCTTCAGCTTCACCACTGTGTAAGCATCAATAAACCATGATCACTGCGTGATGAACATCACATAAATGTTCCCAAATTTTACATGGTTCTCATGTAACTGTCCCTTCCACACATAACTGTCCCTTCTATTGGCAAATGACACTTTTAACAGGTAGTTGATTTTTTCTATGGGGTCAAATTTGTATATAAATAATTTGTGCAGAGCTAATCTTTTTACATTTCTTATCTCCTTTTTTTTTCTCCCTCCCTCCATCTGTCCATCAGTCATGTTCAATGTATCAATACTATGCTAATACTATAGGGAACAGAAAGAAGCATAAGACTTAATCTTGTCCTCCAGCATAGTTTACCATTGGGACTTCCTTGGTGGTCCAGTGGCTAAGACTCCATGCTCAAAATGCAGTGGTCTCAGGTTCCATCTCTCTTTAAGGAACTAGATCCTGCATGCCACAACTGAAAGAAAAAGAAAAAAAAAAACCCCTATATTCTGCAACTAAAAAGATCCTACATGCTGCAACTAAGATCTGCAGCCAAAACAAATAATTTTTAAAAGTATAGCTTACCATCTATTGAGGAAAAAAATGTGCATATGTGCACATAAAAGATCAACAACCAGAATGCTGTATGATGTATCACAAGTAACCAGCACAAATTCATATAGTCTGGAAGATCCAAGGAAGATATCTGGGGCTGGAATGATGTGGTGTTGACTGAGTCTGAGGAATAGTTTTATATAAAGGGAAAAGCACAATGAATTGGAAGACCAGGTGTTCACTTCCACAGCTCACTATCGTAACCTGAACTTAATTTCTCTCATCTGTAAGTTGGGAACCATGATTATAATAATACTTCTCTTCTACTTCAATTTGTGAATCATACAGTCAAATATGGTTATATAAAGAAATTCTGAAAACATTAAAAAAACTCCAACCTAAGGGTGTGTTGTTTGAATTTTTCATCACCTACCATAGTGTTTATGTTCAAACATCACTAATAATTAAGAAATGTTAAAAGCTCAATAGGAATAGGGGAGCAATGCTGATATGTATGTTATTTAATCGGGAGAGAAAATGATAAAATAAAAGACAGGGCTGTGATACAAATATGACTTTTTTAGGTACAATCCATACTATACCTATACTTAATTAAAAGCTAACAACTGTTATGAATAATGTGGGGATAATAATAGGCAACACTTACTGAACTTTTACTATGTGCCAGGGGCTGTGCTAATAACTTTTTATGTATTCTCTAATTTAATCTTCATAACAATCCTAAGAATCTATCCTCATTGTTCCCATTTCACAGAGGGGGAAACCCTGGGTCAGAGAGATTTTCATTTGGCAAAGTCACACAGCGAATAACAAGCACAGGGTTTGAATCTAGATCTGTCTAACTTCTAAGCCTCTATTTTTTTAAAAAAACTTTTATTTATTTATTTTTGGCTGTGCTGGGTCTTTGTTGCTGCATGGGCTTCTCTCTAGCTGTGGCTGGGGGTGTCTCATGTTGCTCGAGGGTGAGGGTTTCAATAGTTGTGGAAGGTGGGCTCGATAGTTGGGGCTCCCTGGATCTACAGCACAGGCTCAATAGTTGTGGCACACAGGCTCAGCAGCTCCGTGGAATGTGGGATCTTCCTAGATCAGGGATTGAACCCATGACTCCTGCATTGGCAGGTGGATTCTTTATCACTGAGCCACCAGGGAAGCCCTAAGCCTGTATTCTTATCTAGTAATTTCCATAACTTTGGCATGTCACACAAAACACAGTGATAAAGTCAGAACCAAATTGAAGTGCTTTGATGTATTTATTAAGCCAGATAAGAAATGGATATTTAATAAATTATTACAAGCAAAGGTGAAGTGAGGAATGAAGCTTTAGAAGGAAGAGAAAGGCCAGTGCATAGAGGACCTAATTTGCCATGTATGACCATTTAAACTTGATTCTGTGGATAAAAAGGAGCGACAGAATGTTTTAAGTACAGAAATGTGATCACTGCCTGCCTGGCATAGCGTTGGTGCTCCATACACACTTCATGAACAAATCAATGAATGGAATTTGCCTTTTAGAAAGACTGACCTAATGACATTGTGAAATATGGTTTGGAGGGAACTAAGACTGAAAGTAGAACAGCTCCTGTAAAAGTTTGGGAAAAGATAGCAGAGCTGCACTGGAGCTGACCAGTACTAGTTTGAAGAGGCAATCATGTATACTTCTTCCCAACTTCAGTTTCAGTGACATTCAATTGGATGGTTTGAAACCAGCCCTGGTGGGGTTATCTACACCACAGATCTCAGCAAACACTACAAATTAGGGTTCTCTTTTTGGAGAGCAGATTTACCAACACACTATTGGCCTGAACAAAAGCTACAGCAATGGGACAGAAGAGGAAGAAATACTTACTAGAGGGGTTAATGAAGTATAATCAGCAATACTTACCATTAGTTGGTTGATGGGTCAGTGAGGGAGACTACACAATGGTTTATCAGGATATTGGGTAGCATGATTCCAATAGGATACTGGTGCCTCTTACCAAGAAGAGGAGTTCAAGATAGGCAAAAGATAGTGAATTCTGTTCAGGAAAAACTGAGGTATTCGTGAAACATGACGGTAAAGATGTCCAGAAGACAGTGGCTATATAGATGTGAAAGTAAAAGGAGAGGTATGGATTCAATATGAAATATGGGAACCATGAGGATGTAACTGATAGTGGAAATCAGTTGGAACTGAAACACTGGGAGTAGGTGAACTTTTAAAGCAAAATAAAGGGACAGAACCCTGAAAAACACTGTGGTAAGTCTTCAAGTTTTATAAAGTAAATATACATAAAGCCACATGCTTTTTTGTACAAAGACAGTTTGGGTGAGTAGGTAGAATTATATTTTCTGTGTAAATACTGAATTTGGAATAAAATTATCACAGCAATGTATATGAGTCTTAAAGAATATTCACATCTGATGAGAACAGATTTATAGATCAGATTTATAAGAACTTTATAGCAAGATTTATCAAAATGACACTTTAGAACAACAAAAAGACTTTATTCAAAAAAGTTTAACTTTATATCTATCAAACAGCTGAAAGAATAAAAACACTCTAGAAAAATGTAAAGAAAAGTTGTTGCAGAAGTCAGCTAAAATGTAATTATAAGGGATTCTATCTGATACTTTTAGCTTGACATTGTAATGTAACTGTTCATTTCTTTGCCTCTTGCCACTAGAGTACACTGGCCTGAGAAGGCTGTGTTTTTTATCTAAGTTTGTGGCCTTGTACATAATGTGTACTCAGAAAATAAGCAAACAAACAAAATCCAACCCTGTTTCTTCCATGACAGAGTGAGAGATTTGAACAGATGACCTAAAAGGTCCCTTTCAATCCTGAGAATTTTTGAAAAGGAAGTGGTGATAGTTGCTTACCACTTAAAAGAAGTGGGCTTAGTGGTAGCACCAAAGGGCCAGTGTTTTAAAGATAAAGACTCTCAGCTCAATATGACACTAGTAAGAATTTTCTTACAAAGCTATCCAACAGAGAAAAAGCTGTTTCAGGATGTGGCTCTTTGAAATAAATGGAACCTGAGAGCTAGAAGGGTCCTTAGATAGCTTTAGTTTGGGTTTTCCCAATCTTTTTTCATGTCATTGTCCACATGGAAAATGGCCGTACTGCACATCGATTAATATCTCAAGGCATACTTGTCACACGTACTCAGAGATTTGGTTGGGAAGACTGATCTGGTCCAACATCCTCGTCTGCAGTGGGGGAAATTAAATCTTACAGTGGGGAAGTGACATTCCCAGATCAAGACGTTAATGTAAATGATGGGCCTAGAACTCTAGCCTCCGGACAAATAACTAGCCAGTCTCCTCCCCACAAAGTAAGTAGGGTTGGATGTCAAGCTTGAAGATTAGGTCAGCGATAGTCTCAGTGGATGGGGCCATGGTCTGGATCGGTGTTGTTTTAAATGTGGTCCCATAACCACTGGCATCAGAGCTTGTTAAACCTTGAGGAACTTGTTTAAAAAGCTGAGACATGGGACCCACACAAACATACTGAATCAGGCTCTGCGGCAAGGCCCGGGAATCTGCATTTTAAGGTTAGAAACCGTGATCCACCCCACCTCCTCTACGGTAATTTTGGACTATGCGCTCCTACTTGAACTGAGGGACTCTGCTGGGCGCATAGCACCCAGTAACCTGACCTTACAGCAACGTGGGCGGCACAGCTACCACCGTCCTAGTCGTAAACTGTCTGTTACGTACTAGCCCTTCCAGTCGTCACAGGCCAGCCAGTGCCCTATCCGTGTGAGGACACCGCCGTGCCTCCATCAGCCTCCTGGCCGGGCGGCTGAGCAGGCAGCGGGGGGGTGGGGGGGGTGGGATTGGGACAGAGGCGGCTCAGCTTCGCCCCCTCGAGGCCAGGTCTCTCCGCAAGCTAGCCGGGTTATAGTTTCCCTTCTCCGCCTCCGAGCTCCTCCTATTTCTTCGTAGTCCCGCCCACCAAGGAAGCCACTACAACGCCTGCGCCTTCTGCCTTGCCCCGCCTCCTAGCTAAACCGGAAGTTAGCCGATTTCCCATAGTCCCTCGAGAGTGGCGGGCGTGATAGTAAATTTGGTAGGCGCTCTCGCGGGTTTAAGTCGGCTTTGTTGAGGTTTCTTTTGTGCCAGGGCGCTGTAGGGAATTGGGGCCTGGTCAGTGCTTTGTCTGCGGATGCAATGGCGCTTCTCCGGGGCATGTGGGGCATGCTGAATACACTGGGAAAGTCAGGAGCGGATCTCTGCGCGGGCTGTGGCAGTCGACTGCGCTCTCCCTTTAGGTAAGCCTGCTCGCCTGCACCTTAGGAGGCGGAAGGGTTCAGGACGCCTTGGGGTTGGCATGTAGACGCTGTTCTCCGCTTTCTGTCCCCCCTAAAATGGTCAGGACTGACTTGGCCCTGTGATTCTGACCTCGACCTTGCCAAGGGGATGGTGGCTTTGAGACCAGGCCTTACTCCATCAGTACCCCTGGCCTTCCTTCCGGCCACCTTTCCCCTCGTTCCATCCCTTCTCACTCTCGTAGCTTGGAGCACCTCTTTCGGCGTCCCCTGCGAAGTCGCTCCAGGAGTCTCCTGCCTTCATATAGGCATTGAGGCAGGGCCCAGGAGCTGTAGATACATGCTTTCCTTCACTCTCTCCTTGCTAACCTCTCCTTGCTAGGAGGTTAGGGCTTTGAGACTAAAGTTTTGCAAGCTCTTTCCCCTGGATAGGACAGGATTTTAAATATCATTAGTGTTCTTGTCGAAGTGTTAGGTGTCAGATATGTAGCATCTTGATATCTTGTTTGGCATCTGTGTTCACATAATTATGAATACGGGTACTTAAATGTTTAACACTGGTTATTTTCTTTTTATTTGTATGTAGTTTTGCGTATGTTCCAAAATGGTTTTCATCCAACTTGAGTGGTTATCCAAAGAAGCCTATGACTTCATACGTTCGATTTTCTAAAGAACAGCTGCCCATATTTAAAGCTCAGAACCCAGGTGAGGAGTTTGGGTTATATACTCTTCTCTAATGTAGTAAAGATGCCACTAAGCAGTTAAATTGCAGACTTGATTTTCAGTATCAGGCATCTGTTGAATGCAGAAACATAACCATTCTGTTTGATGGCCTGTAAAATAGATACAACATGGGCTTTCTATGTGGTGCTAGTGGTAAAGAAGCCACCTGCCAATGCAGGAGACATTGGAGTCGTGGGTTCAATCCCTGGGTGGGGAAGATCCCCTGAAAAAGGGAATGGTGACCCATTCCTTTATTCTTGCCTGGAAAACTATGGACAGAGGAGTCTGGTAGGCCACAGTCCATGGATTTGCAGACTCAGACACGACTGAAGCGACCTAGCAGGCATGCATAAGAAATCAGTTTAAGCACAGCAGTAAGGTAATTTTTACCAAATAAAAATGCTTTAAATGTAATTGAGAACTAGTGAAAGGTATTTTAAAAATAGCGTGTAGAATGGAAAGTACCCAGGAAAGAGGATGAAAAAGCTGAATTTGGGGCCTTGTGGCCATTGGCCCAGAGAACCATTGACGAATCATTTTACCTCTTGCTTAGCTCCTACTGCTGCCACTGGGAATTATTAATAAAGTCGCAGTGAAATAATTTCTGTGGATGTGTTGCATAAACTTTAAAGCTGAATACAGATTATTGTTAATTTTAAGAGGTTTTTGACTGAAAGCCAGTTCTTGAATTTCTGAAAGATTTCCAGTTAGATTTGTTGATTGTCTAGAAAGACTGGGTCCTTATTGGGGCTATAGTGTAAAGGTAGTGACCAAATTAGTAATTGCTGAGCTTGTCTTATAATTTCTAAAGCTTTTTCATATGCATTACATCACAGGGCACTTATGAAAATCATATGAGCTGTAATAGTCACATAAAGAACTGGTTTAAGAGACATGCTTCAGTACTCACATCTTTTAAAATGTAGGAGTTGAAACTAACAAGTGGTTTGTTAAATCATTTATACCTTGTCATTCCAGTTAAGATGAGGCAGGAAATGGAGAATAATGAATTGGTTTTAGAATAATTTAGCTTGTTTGCAAACAATATTTCTGTAATTGAAATACAGGGTGGTGGTATATGAATCAAGACTATATTTTGTTGTTTAGTCAGGTTTTATGAACTTGATCATTCCTGAGAGACTTGAAAAAAATGTTTTTGATTGAAATATGAAGTAGAAAACTTGTAGACACTGATTCCCCAGTTGCTTTAACTTAGTAATCAATTCCTGAGGACCATTTTGGTGGTAAATGATACTATTCCTTAATTTAATTATTAGATAATAGACTTTAACAATGTTAGATAAAATATTAAATTATTTGTTGTACTTAAATTAGTTGGTTAAAAACTAAATCATTTTAAGTTGTGTATGGGAAAATGTCTGTAAAAATACTTAATTTTAGAGCTAATGGATTATACTTTCCTGAAAGTCTTTAGAAATTGATCCTGAGATGTAAAATGGTGACATCAATTTTTATTTCATTTCATAGATGCAAAAAATTCAGAACTAATTAGAAAAATCGCCAAGCTATGGCGGGAACTTCCTGATTCAGAGAAAAAGGTAAGCATATAAATTTTCAGCATTGCTGACCAGTTATTTTGCAGCTAAGGACAACTGTCATGTCCTTTAAGGAGCCAGATGACCCAGCGTTTGTTTTTATTTTTTTACATTTGTTATCTCAAAGGAATGTCATACTTTCTCATCCACATAAATGATGAGAATATGGATAAATGGCAGTGGTGATGAAGGGTTGGTTTTTGAAGCAGTTTGAAGTTGGAGGCCAGTTGCTAGGCCTTGGATAACATATTTGAAGAACACATGATTTATAAGTGGGATTTCAGAGTACATTTTCCACTTGGTGGTTCAGTCAGTTTCCTGAAGTTATGCAGTTGTCCTTCCCTGTCAGGTATGCTATGTTTAATTAGCCAGCCGTAGTTTATTAAATTCTTATTTGGGTTTTACATTTATAGATATATGAAGATGCTTACAGGGCAGACTGGCAGATATACAAGGAAGAGATAAACAGAATTCAAGAACAACTAACTCCAAGTCAAATGGTATCTTTGGAAAAAGAAATCATGCAGAAACGTTTAAAAAAGAAAGCGCTAATAAAAAAGAGAGTGAGTATGGTTGAAATAGTCTTTTTCTTTGGCAAAAAACTGAAATTTATATATCTGTAATACAGGTTTGGTTTTTTTTTCCCCCCTTATTTTGATGATATGGTAGAGAATGTACTTCACTAGGCAAATATAGGATAGTTTCCTTCTGCCACTAGGACCACTTGCCTTTGAGTATATTGTAAACCGTTTTTGCTCCTTTTAGATGTGTCTGAGTTTGAAATACATAATTAGGACTGGTGTGAAAGCTGTAGGAACAGAGTTATGAAACAGGAAAATCAGGAATAGCAAAAGTCTTGCTTCTGGGTCTTTTCTAGAGTAACTTACTGATATGAATTGTTCATAGATGATGGTGAATTTGATTCTGAATATTGCCGAATAGACTGAATTCATTAACTTATCAATGTTTTAAAAGTGCCTATTGTAGCTAATAAAGTTAAAGTGCCTTTAGGATGAAATTCGATTTTTCCTCATCAAAAATCCCACATGGTTCAAAATTAGTGGCTTCCAGTTTAAGGTATTAGTCCATATAAATTCTGTTGTTTGACAGACTACATCTTTCCATAGTATTAGGTGTGAGGTGGTGAACTTGCTGATCCAGTATATATACCACAGAAAATGGTCATCAGAGCAAAAACTTACTTCTCTGGAAAAGTAGATTCCAGCCTTTAATGTGAAGTGATGGTATCTCTCTTCCTGATCCCTGTGTCTTAAGCCCTCCTATCTCTTGGGTTGAGGACTCACCCAATTTAAAGTCAATGATAGTAATCTAAGACTGCTAATCCAATTAGTAAAAGGAAGCCAGAAAAGATAGGGGTGGTATTTGGAGGGTGGAAAATTAGGATTTACTCTCTCTCCTGAGCTCTTCCTTGCTCTTTAATGCACCCCACTAGTACTTTGAGTGGGGAGGACCAGAAATGAGGATTGAGCAGATACAAGGAGTTTCTTATTCAGGTATTTCTGTTCCTTTCTCTGTTCTCCTCTATTCCAGTTCAGTTCAGTTGCTCAGTTGTGTCCAACTCTTTGCAGCCCCATGGAATGCAGCACGCCAGGCCTCCCTGTCCAATACCAACTCCTGGAGGTTACTCAGACTCATGTCCATTGAGTTGGTGTTGCCATCCAACCATTTCATCCTCTGTCATCCCCTTCTCCTCCTACCTTCAATTAGGGTCTTTTCTAATGAGTCAGTTCTTCATATCAGATGGCCAAAGTATTGGAATTTCAGCTTCGGCATCCATCTTTCCAATGACTATTCAGTACTGATTTCCTTTAGGATGGACTGGTTGGCTCTCCTTGCAGTCCAAGGGACTCTCAAGAGTCTTCTCCAACACCACAGTTCAAGACATCCAATTTTTCAGTGCTCAGCTTTCTTTATAGTCCAACTCACATCCATATATGACTACTGGAAAAACCGTAGCTTTGACTAGACAGACCTTTGTTGGCAAAGTAATGTCTCTACTTTTTAATATGCTCTCTAGGTTGGTCATAACTTTTCTTCCAAGGAGCAACCATCTTTTAATTTCATGGCTGCAGTCACCATCTGCAGTGATTTTAGAGCCCCAAAAAATAAAGTTTGTCACTGTTTCCACTGTTTCCCCATCTATTTGCCATGAAGTGATGGGACCATATGCCATGATCTTAGTTTTCTGAATGTTGAGTTTTAAGTCAACTTTTTCCCTCTCCTCTTTCACTTTCATCAAGAGACTCTTTAGTTCTTTACTTTCTGCCATAAGGGTGGTGTCATTGGCATATCTGAAGTTATTGATACTTCTCCCAGCAATCTCGATTCCAGTTTGTGCTTCACCCAGCCCAGCGTTTGTCTTGCATGTGTACTATGCATATTGTAGTTGTCCCATAGTGGTTGGTTGGTCTTTTTTTTTCTTCTTCAGTCTTTGTTCTCTTTACTTTTGGATTTTCGAGGTTTTTTTTTTTTTTAAGCTGTGCTGTGTGGCTTTTGGGGTCTTAGTCCCTTGACCAGGGATTGAATGTGTGCCCCCTGCAGTGGAAGCTTGGAGTCCTAACCACTGGACTGCCAGGGAGTTCCCTTTATCTCTAGCACTTCTTTTCAGTTTGTTCTTATGGTTTTCCCTCTCTGCTTACAATGCCTATTATTGCAAGCTGTCTAGAATCCTTACCATATTAATCACAGTTGTTTTAAAATCCTGGTCTGATAATTTTGTATCCCTGCCTGTTTTGATGCTTGTTTTGTTTCTTTACTTTAGGCTGTTTGTCTTTTAGTATACCTTGGAATTTTTTCTTGATAGTTAGGCATATGATGTGCTGGGTAAAAGGAACTGTATATGGGCCTTCATAATGTGGTAAGACATGGGACAGGGGAAGCATTCTACAGTCTTATGATTAGGTCTTGGTCCTTTAATAAGGGTTTCCTTGGTGACTCAGTGGTAAAGAATCCACCTGCCAATGCAGATGATCAGTCGGGAAGATCCCCTGGAGAAGGAAATGGCTACCCACTGTAGTATTCGTGCCTGGGAAATCCCATAGACAGAGGAGCCTGGTGGGCTACAGTCCATGGGGTTGCAAAAGAGTCAGATATGAGTTAGCAATTAAAACACAAAAAAACCTTTAATGAGCCTGTGGCTTTGTGCTTAGGTGGTACAGGATGGCTAAAGTAAGCTGTAGTCTAGTATTTCTTTTCATTGAAGTCTTTTCAATGAAGCCTATTCATTGAAAATAAATGTGTTTATTTTTTATTTGACTGCACCAGATCATTAGTTGCAGCACGTGGGATCTAGTTCCCCAACCATAGATTGAACCCCATCCCCCTGCATTGGGAGCACAGTCTTAACCGGTAAACCACCAGGGAAGTCCTAGCAGATTAGGTTCTGATCAACTAGTTTCCTTTGAAGGCGGGCCTTGTTGAGAATAATAACGTACTCTGGCATTTCGAAATGATGCCTTTTCTTTCTTCTGGAAGCAAGAGGGGTTTTTTTCCCTTGATTTTTACTGTGGGAATCTGGTCAAGTTCCTGGAGAAAAACCTCACAATATTACGAGGCTTTCCTATGAGTGGTAGTAACTCTCAGAGTTGTCCACATGGAGCTTCCAGCAGTTAGTCAGCTGTGGTTCAGTTTCTTGCACACCACTGGTTTCCATTCCTCTGTCTGTTCCAGTAAGTCTCAACTCCTTGTGTTCACGTGTCTGTGTCTCCAATCTTGGGAGCAGCAATTCACCCTGTGTCCCCTCTTCTATGGATCCGAGAATTGTTGATTTTGCAGTCTGATCAGCTTTATCCTTATTAGGATTGAGTGATGACTTCCAAACTCCTTACATGTAGAACCAGAAACTTGAAAGTCTGAGTGATTTTTCCCTAAGACTTCATTTGCTCTCCTTGTTGGAATTTTTCTTCCCATTAGATTCCCAGTTCCAACTACTTAAAGATTAGGTGAGAGGTGTGGGGACCAGTAAGTTGCAAGTGAAGCACCTAGAAGAAATCCCTAGCGGTAGCTCTAGAAACAAAAGGGGAAATGCAGAGTTAAGTTGTAAAATGCCTCCTTTTCTGAGAGGCTCAGGGCCAAGTAAGTGATCTCTATATGTAAATCAGAGGAGCCCTACTTATGAATGAAAGTTGGGTTTGTTATTGACTGTAAACCAAATTGCCATTAAAATCCCCATCATTTTATAAATCTCTGTCTAAGTTCAGAAGCTCAGTAGGTTAGGATGATGCAGTGTCCTTCATTAGATTATGCAGCAAATACCTTATGTTCTTAAATTGTCAAGTGGAGGTACGTAATGCTTTGTCCAAGGAGAAGTGGTGCCTTACAAGGATAAAACTTCTTTTTTAATGTTTAAAAAAAATTTGTACATACTGCTCATTTATTCAGTTCATGGAGACCATGAAAATAATATGTAAAGGAAATGTTTCTGTATGAAAAGTAACTCATAAAATCTATTAGAATTTTCAAAACAGTACTATCAAAAATTCTGACCCCAAGAGGGAACAATCACATACTCATAACATTCATTTTAAAGAACATTCTGTAATTCATGGTAGTGAATGAAGTTTCTCTAGGTAAAGGTAAGTATCATAGAGTTTAAAACTTTATCTCATCTTTAATTTTTTTTACTTAGGAGTTAACAATGCTTGGAAAACCGAAAAGACCTCGCTCAGCTTATAACATTTTTATAGCTGAACGTTTTCAGGAAGCTAGGGATGGCACATCACAGGTAAAACAGAACTCTGTATGTTTTAAAAATGTTTATTCTAATTTTTAATATAACATAGACAGGAAACTTTAGGGGTGCAACCTGTCAAATGGTGAAAAAAAGTGATAAATTATTATAAAGAAATAGTATATATAAATAATACCTAAAAATCCTTTTTCTTAACACATAAAATGTTTAAAATTTGAATGTGTATATATACATATTCAGCTATGTATATACATCGTCAACTTTTTAAATTAAAAAACAAAATTTTCACCTTTATAGGCGTGTTCAAGTTCTGGAGACTTCTCTTACCGGCAGTTCTGAGTGGTTTTACAGTCACTGGGGAAGAATGAGAGCAGAGGCGAAATGTTTCATGCTGGGGTTTGAGTGTAACCTGCGGCCTCATGTTACGTCCTTTAAATATTGTTGGTTATACCCATGGGGATGTATTATATTACACATATGAATGGCATCTATGACTGCGGAAAGAAGAAAAAAGCTTGTCATTCTTGCTGTGGCTTAGTCTTTCCTTTATTTCCTTTTCAGAGGCTCCAAATTGTCAGTTGTATTATTCTTCTTGTAATATGCCATGGTAAGAGAAGTCTGCTCAGATTCCTAATTCTTGAAGGTTTTTGCCACTCTGATTCTTTGGGTTATTTAGATCTGTAGGATCACAAATCCTGTTGGACATAAGATTAAATGATGTGTATATGTAATGTATTTTTCTGGCTATATATGATTTCACTGATTACTTCCCTGGGGATTTTATTTTTCTTTTAAAAGTAGTACCATTTTATTTAGTGTTGTAGGAAATTTTAGTTTACTTCTGAAAAACAAAAAGGGGATCTTCTTGGATCAGGGATTGAACCCATGTCTCCTGCATTGGCAGGCGCATTCTTACCACTGAGCCACCAAGGAAGCCCTGGGTTTTAAATTTAGCTTCCATGGCCCTACATTACTAAAACAGCAAGCCTGTTTATTTTTTTAGTTGGAATTTGCTCAGTCACTCACCTACGTTGGATTTAGTTTTATTAGTATAAGGTTTTGTGTTAGAGAATCCTTCTGAGTCAGTAGTTCTCAACTCTGACTGCATCTTGGAATCACCTCAGAAGCTTCATGGCTGGCCTTTATCCCTGAAAATTAAAATTAGTTTAATTATATAATTTTTATTCATGTAAAAAAATACATACTCATAGTTTTAAAGAATGAAAATAAGGCTTGTTATGAAAGATACAGGTTTTACTGTGCTGTCATAGTCTGCTCCAGAAGCAGATACATTCTATTTTAGTTGATTCTTGTGGTATTTACCTCCATATCTCTAAATAATGTTCTTATATTGTTACTTCCTGATTTTTCTAAAATTCTAAGCATTACCTATATTTTAGGCATCATCTCTCACTATGTAAGATGAACATTTATCTCTACCTCATTCCACTGTTCACTTTTCTATCAACCTACCTCCCAGGATAGTTACCATAATTTTGGTTAGATCAGTATTGAGTACTTAATACTATTATGCATGCATGCTAATTTGCTTCAGTCATATCTGACTCTTTGTGACCCTATGGACCATAGCCTTCCAAGCTCCTCTGTCCATGGGATTCTCTAGGCAAGAATACTGGAGTGGGTTGCCATGCCCTCCTCCAGGGGATCTTCCTGACCCATGGATCAAACCAGTGTCTCTTAAATCTCCTGCATTGGCAGGTGGATTCTTTACCACTGGCCCCATCTGGGAAGCTCAATGGCTCAGCCGGTTAAGAATCTGCCTGGAGAGGAGAGCCGGGTAAAATCCCTGGGTCAGGAAGAATCCCCTGGGGAAAGGAATGGCTGCCTACCCCAGTATTCTTGCCTGGAGAATCCCATGGACAGAGGAGCCTGGAAGGCTTTGATCCATAGGGTTGCAGAGTCAGACACGACTGAGCGACCAACACTTTCCGCATTTAGAGCTTGGGATTAGCTCTGCTTTTCTGCTCCCCAAGTGCTGTGTTGGTAGTGTCTTCTTCTGTTCTTTGTCTATGTGGTTTTTATGCCTTTAGAAATTTTAGTTGTTTAATTAAAAAAAATAAATCACAGAAATGAATTGCTTATAGTTCTGAAGGTTAAAAGTCCACGATCAAGGCAACATCATGGTGAGGGCCCTCTTCTGGTTCATAGCTGGCACCTTCTCTCACTGTCTCCACATAGTGCGAGTGCTCATTTAATGTGATTTTAGATAGCACCAGAAGTAAATACCTTCCCATCCCTTTAGTTTTTTTTCCATGAATTAGTTTTTTAGGTGAAAGATTATTTATGCATGCAGCTTCATAAATTATTGTTTAACACACTGAATATGAAACTTTATGGATTAAACATAAGTAAAAAGATACATTATGAAAGAACTAAAAGCATGAAAGCAATTCTTTCCAAAGCTAAGAGAGCAGTTATTTAATGAGTTAACTTTCCCTGAATATACTAAATGTATTTATAAAGGTAAGCTTAAAATATTCAAGACAGGCTCAGATACTATCTGGGTACCTCACTTTTTGTTGACAGGAAAACAAAGTTCAGTGAGAGTTCTGGTCAGAATAATAAAGCTAATAGTTTTAACTCTACTTCCTGAAATCACTGATGCTATCCTCCTGCCTTTAGTAGGTCCTTCTCGTGTTCCCCTTTCCCTCCCGTTCCCCTCCTGTCCCCGCTGCTTCTCTGCTCCGTATTCTCCAGCCACCCACATTCCTCTTCGGCCTTCGCTCTCTGGTAGCGACACCACTGACTGTGTGAAGTGCGCTCACTGTCTCTCTGCCTCTCCTTCAGCTGTAGGATTCCTGCATCCCTTTCACTTCATACATTGAACCTCCCAAGCCTAAGGGGGGTCATAGAACTTTTTTCTGGGTCACATAATTAAGTTCAGCTATGTAGAAGAAGAATTGGTGTTGTATTGTTCCTATGACAACAACTAAAACACGGTGGCACAAATATTAGAATTAAGTAAGCATTTAAGCCACAGAGGAAATAAAACAGTATTTGGAGCTAGTCTATGACAGAGTAACTTATATTTGAATATTAATATCTTTGAATTCAGAAAGATAAATATCTGCACAGAGGAACCATCAACAAAATGAAAAGTAATCCTACCAAATGGGAGAAAATATTTGCAAATAATTTAGAGAACTCGTATGACTCATTCCCCCACCCCAGAAGAAAAAAATCTGATTAAAAAATGGGCAAAGGATCTGAATAGATATTTTCCCAAAGAAGACATAGAGATGGCTAACAAGTATGTGAAAAGGTGCTCAACATCATCATCAGGGAAATGTAAATCAAAACTACAATGAAATAGTACCTTATATTTGTTAGAATGGCTATTATAAAAAAAACAAGTATTACTGAGGATGCGTTAGAAGGGGAACCCTTGTGCTAAAACACTTAAGTCAAAAAAAAAGAGCACATAGACACAAATAACATGTTGGTAATTAAAGGTGGTCAAAAGGTACAGACTTCCAGTAATCATTGTGTTGTACACCTGAAAGTGTTGTTCTATGTCAGTTATGTCTCAGATTTTTGGGGAGTCTTTGCCTGTGATTCTTGATATCTGAGTGTTTGTTGTTGGAATGAATAATAAAACAGCATCTTTCTTTAATCACTGAAGTCCCTATATCTGGTACTTAAATGTATATTGTTTTCACAGGTAAAGCTGAAAGCTATAAATGAAAACTGGAAAAATCTCTCTAATTCTCAAAAGCAAGTAAGTAGTATGGTTTTAGTCCCAAGTGCCTAGTTAGAATATCTGTGAGAATATATTAGGGCAAGGCTTGATTCATGTGACAACAACCCTATATTACACAGTGTTTTTAAATTATTGTCCTATTCTTGGAACCAGTTTGGCTTTTTTCTTTTGGTAGTTTTTGATTCCATATAAAACTGGTATTTAAAACAGTGTCACTCGTAACTTAGTGTCATCATATCCAGTGATGATCACACCCCGCCCCTGTTGCTTTTCCACACTCCAAACCCTGAAATTGTAGCAACTTCATTAATACTTAAAAATCTTTATCTCTTACGTGTTTCTCATCTAATTTTTATCTCACAAGAATATTTCTTTCCAACCCCCTTTAACATATAGAATAGTAAGATAATTTCTAGAATATTTTTGGAGAGCATCCCAGAAATTAATTGCAAAGATTCCTCTAAAGAAATCATTTTAACAGTTACACTCTTTCTCAGGTATATGTTCAACTTGCTGAAGATGATAAAATTCGTTATTATAACGAAATGAAATCTTGGGAGGAACAAATGATGGAAGTTGGACGAGAAGATCTCATACGTCGCTCAATGAAATACCCAGCAAAAAATGACCCTGAGGAGTTTTAAAATAGAAGATTGAGTTATGTTCATAATGGAGAGACACAAGAAACCAACTAGGTCTCAATACCCGAAACTGTTGTAAAATTAGAATGGATAAAGTTGGTGAACATTTATATTTAATTTCTTTTCTGTAGCCCATGGACTTCTGCCAGCCAATTCAATACATCTTGTATTGGTGTCTTGCTTTTGAAAACCCACACAGATGAGAGTTCATGTGGAATTTATTTTGTGTTTAGGAACTACTGAGCATCAAAATAATCCATGAAATGTAGCAGTGAATCATTTCACCTTTGATAAAGGTAAATCAGACTCTGAAGTTTTTTTATACTTGATGATTATGGAAAAAATATTCTTGTTTCCTTATATTATGGAAGCAGGAGTTTCCTATTCATAAGTATCTCAAAGTTTGTAGAAGCCATAGTGTTCTATGATATAACTACATTTTTAAAAGAGCATCCAGAACTCAGGCTGGTAAATTCCAAATCCTGGGTATAATTCATATTGTAATCAGAGTTGATGGTTGTACATGTGAGGAATTTCTGGTGTCAGTTGCAACTTTTATAAAAGGGATAGAGAGATTTATAAACCTTTTCCTCATCTTTTTCCTAAATTAAAAACAAAAATTATGTACCAAATCTATGCATATTGTTTTATATTGCATAGAATAAAAACTATGTTTCCTAATTATGTTTTAAGGTGAAACATTCATTTTATAGCTTTCTGGGATTTTTGTTTGTTTTTTTAAAGTAGGGAGTTTGTATACTGAATTATTTTTTCTCTTATGTAAATATATTTATCCAGAAAGTAGAGAACTTGTTTGGTGTAAGTTTTAAAATGAGAGATCTAAAAAAATCATGTCTCCAAAGTCTCTCAAATTGGAACCTATGATATTTAAACATTTGCATAACATATAAAAGCCTGTATAATAATAGCCAGTTCTAATCTGATGCCCATATCCAGCCCACTGCCTGCTTTTCTTGGCCTTGTCAACTACGAATTGTTCACAGTTTTAAATAGTTTTAAAAAAAAAACATACTTCAAGACACAGAAAATTAATATGAAATTCAGTGTCCATAAAAAAAAGTTTTATTGGAACACAGCCACACTCATTGTTCATGGCTGTTTTTGTACAACAGTGCAGTTGACTAGTTGCTACAGAGATGTGTAGCCTGCAAAGACCAACCCATGTAGTGTGGAATGAGATGCTCTTAAGTTACTTGCTATGGCTCAGTAAAACGCATCTTAACAGTTTTCCAGTTAGCATTTAAACCATACCATCTTCTAGCATTTGATTATCTTCTTAATAAGTATAAAAGGTCTTCAAAATCCACACCATCTTTTTGAGCAAAATACTCAACTGTCATCATCAGTTCACATGAATTTATAACTCAAATTTTATATATTTACTTTGTATTTTGCAAAATATGCAAAAAGTTTGTATTCTAGATCTCCAGAAAGATATTTGTAGTTTGTGGATAGAAAATAAGTAAAAGAATCACTAAAAAATGACTTGTTACGTACTGAACTTGGCAAAGGTCGGGACTGTAGAGAAAAATACAGCTTAAGAGGACTAGCCTAAGATTTAAATATATGAAGTTGTTTGAAGTTTTCAAACAACTTTCCTCCGTGAATGGTAATGCAGGACAAAGTCTGCCATTATGTAAATGACCCTTGGTCTGAGGGTAGAGTATTCTGGGGAGGAAAACAGGGAAGAAAAGGACATTTGCTAGTGTCTGTTGCAAGCTTTCTCAATTAGGTTTCCAGGAAAGAATTAAGCCTTAACTCCCTATGGCATCTAGAATGGTACTGATTTTGTACCATCCTTAGGAGAATGGAGAAAATAATCAGTCAAATAATTTACTGTGTTCTGTGCTTCAGACGAGCCTAGGGAGCATATGGGAGTCAGTGTTTATAATAAATATTATAGAATGGGTGAGGAAGAGAAATGAATTATAAACTCGTGTAGCACAAATGTATAAAACACATCTTTGTACCTACCTTCTGAGCTCTAGGATTTAGCTGCCTATACTGTTTTATACCGAACACATTCAAATATCTTCCTGAATATACTGGGAAGTTCAGTGTACTAAGTTCTCACGTATATATTTCTTAATATAGGGAGGAAAGGTATGAAACAGTGAAAGGAGCTATAGCAAAACCATTTTGTTTCTAAAAGAGTGTCGTTAATACTTTAAATATTAGGATAATCTGACTTCACACCTTTCTTAATAAACCTCAGTACATGGGATGTGTTAGTCGCTCAGTCGTGTCCAACTCTTTGCGACCCCATGGACTGTAGCCCACCAGGCTCCTTTGTCCGTGGGATTCTCCAGGCAAGAATACTGGAGTGAGTTGCCATTTCCTTCTCCATACCATGTATTAAATGCCATCCAATTTAACAGTATATACAAATACTCTTATGAAGAATGAGAGCTTATATCAATACAGTGGCTAGGTGTATAACCGGTTGCCATTCTTAAATTGACTGAACAAGAAACTAAAAGCTAAATAATTGTGACCAGGGAAAAGATGCTTAAGTGAAAACAGTGTTTATGCTGTCTGAGCAGTCAATCACAGAGATGCTTATGTTCACTAGAGTACCAGTATTAGATTTTACAAAATAATTTGACAAGGGTGTGTGTGTAATTATTTTCCAATGTTTAAGGGATATGTGCATATTCAGCCTACTGTAATCGTAATTTTGCTACTGCTTTTGGCTTACTCCTTTTTTGGAAATGCCATTTTTTTAAATAAGATATATGCTTTTTTAAATAGTTTGCCATGAATGTGTATATTTACATTGCTGAATTAAAATGGAGTTAAAGTAACTAGAAAATTTTATTAATATTTCTGATATTAACAGTACCTAAAATTAATCACCACCAGATTGTGCTAAAGCAGTAGGAACTTCTTATATAGGTAAGTAATTAATTTCCATTATTTCTCTTAATTTTACCAATCTTTTTACTGTAAGACTACTCCAACAAAAAAAGAATACTCTCTTCCATCCTTTTCTCTCCTCACAGCCACTATTCCTCTTCCTTTTCAAAGCACCAAGCTCTTACAGACAAATTTGAAAATGTTATAAGTGCAGATAATATGTTTTGAAATTTTTATTATTTTGAATTTATAAAATTTTCCAAATAGTAAAACTGTACATAGTATCATCATTCTGTCACATTGTTCACAAATAAAATATTTTTGGTAATTAAATCATTGATTATATTTGATGGAAAATACATGAAACCATCTTCTAGCACATTAAAAATACTTTAAAAAATTTTTACTGGCTAAGAAACTGCATACTTAAAATTGACTGTAAACAAAAGTTTTAAATAGGCTAAACATTTTAAAATTACCCTAATGGCAGAAAGTAAAGAACTAAAGAGCCTCTTGGAGGTGAAAGAGGAGAGTGAAAAGGCTGGCTTGAAACTCAACATTCAAAAAAGTAAGGTCATTGCATCTGTTCCCATCACTTTACGGCAAATAGAAGGGGAAAAATTGGAAGCAGTGACATGTTATTTTCTTGGGTTCCAAAATCACTGTGGATGGTGACTACAGCCATGAAATTAAAAGACACTCCTTGGAAGGAAAGCTATGACAAACCTAGACAGTGTATTAAAAAGCAGAGACATTACTTTGCTGACAAAAGTCTGTATAGTCAAGGATATTTTCCCAGTAGTCAGGTACAGAAGTGAGAGCTGGACCATAAAGGAGGCTGAGCAGTGAGGAATTGATGCTTTCAAACTGTGACCCTGGAGAAGACTTGAGAGTCCCTTGGAATGCAAGGAGATCAAATCAGTCAATCCTAAAGGAAATCAACCATGAATATTCATTGGAAGAACTGATGCTGAAGCTAAAGCTCCAATACTTTGGCCACCTGATGTGAAGACCTGCCTCATTGGAAAAGACCCTGATGCTGGAAAAAATTGAAAGCAAAAGGAGAAGGGGGTGGTAGAGGATGAAATGGTTAGATACCAAACTGTGTCAGATGAAATTCATCCACCTCTGAGCCCTGCAAAGGATTGCCTGTTGAGTGCAGTGCTGTCGCATTTTATGGGAAAATAAATTATGTGAATTTAAAATAATATGAATAAATATTTGAAAGTTGTATATTATGCATGACATTTAAAATAGTGCAATCTTAAAATTTTTAAAAATGGCTGCGAGTCATAGAATTTCAAAACACTCTTGAACAGCAAAGTGAGGGCAGTGTTTGATATTACTATATGCAGTCACCTTTAACACAAAATTTATCGTGTGTCAGTTTCCTATATATGTTGTGTATGTGCTTTGAAAGTTTTGTAAATGATCTGCTGACTTGTACTGCTATTTTAATATTCAGTGTTGTTATAATCCAAAAAGTTAAAAAAAAAATCAACTAATGCAAATACTCATTTAGGAGTGGTAATGCTTGTGCTGTAAAACATTTCTAAAAACTAGTAACTCTGGAACAGAATCATGTTTGTAATAAAATTTAATTCTGATGCATTGTTTAGTTGCATTGATAATAGCTTGGATAAAGATAAAGCCATCTAGATAAAGCCATGGAAAGATACATCTGTTTATTCCAAATGAAGTACGCCTGCTCACTGACTCTTGGAAAATTTGTTTGAAATTGTCAAAATATTTGGACAATTTAAAATATATTGGGAAATTTATTGACCAAGAAAATGTTTATATTGCTTACTGAAATTCTTATGGCTTGAAAATTCCATTTGAGTAAAACGTCAAATGGTTGTGCACGTTATCTAAGAGAGACTTTTTTTCAGTTGGTGTGCATTTTCACTCTAACAATTTTGTGTATCGCCAATGTCAAACGAAAAAGAATGTACAACCTAAACGTTGAGAGTTGTTTTATACAACAGACATTAGGACTTCAGGCTTCGGAGGCAGCCTCTCAAGTAACCTTGGGAAAATTGCTCCAAGGAGGCGAGGGGTTAGCTAGGATATACAGGGGTTTTGCAATAAAGGGTAGATAGTCTGAATGACACAAAATTATTGTAAATTAAAGGAAAACCAAACATCTCAAGGAATTTAGCGCTTTTCTACACATGGGAAGATACACGAGTCTGGACTCGAACCAATCCTTTGATACGCACCTCAGCTATGGCCAGTATCCTGAGCTTCCTCAGGGCGCACCATGGGGAGTGGTTGCAATCTGAAGGCTGCCAGAAGGCAGGTATTCCTTGTTACTTTTCTGAGTGCCCTTGCTGCTGCTGCTGCTGCTGCTAAGTCGCTTCAGTCGTGTGCGACTTTGTGCGACCCCATAGACTGCAGCCCACCAGGCTCCCCCGTCCCTGGGATTCTCAAGGCAAGAACACTGGAGTGGGTTGCCATTTCCTTTTCCAGTGCATGAAAGTGAAAGTGAAGTCGCTCAATCGTTTCCGACTCCTAGCGACCCCATGGACTGCAGCCTACCAGTCTCCTCCATCCATGGGATTTTCCAGGCGAGAGCACTGGAGTGGGGTGCCATTGCCTTCTCCGTCTGAGTTCCGTTAGGGCTCACCAATTCATCCTCAAAGGTGGCCACAACCACTGATGACTATGACATCCTTTGTTTACTGATATGGCAGGCAGTGTTCCATTTCTCACTAGTAATTCTGAGAAGCTGGTATCATTTTATCATGATTACTACAATTGCCAACACCACCACACTGAGCTGCTGTGCCTCCTGGGAGAAGCCCTATTGTCAACAGGTTTTCAAACTTTGCACTCTAGGTCTCTTCTCCCATCATCTCTTCCACCCGCGTCGGGAACCCAGCTAGCGGAACAGCCACCTCACATCCCCTTCCATATTCTGACCGACGGTTTAGGTCTTACTGCCAGCTTGTGGCCAGGATACCGCCTGTAGGCCAGATGTGGAATCGCCCAGGTCGGACAGGCGCTCTGGCGCATGCGCCACGTGGCGCGCAGCCTCAGTCGGGTGCGGCGGGACTGAAGCGTTCTTGGGGCGTGGCCGGTGTGAACGGCAGGTCGAGCTTGCGTGAGGGCTTGCTTCGGCCCACTCTTACTGCCGGCGGGAGCACGGGGAGATTGAAAGGTTCGGTCCCGTCCTTGAGGTCCTGTGGGCGCCTTCGAGTCACAGGGAAAGCCAATGTATTGCTGGGGGCCACTGCTCTGAGGCCATTGCGCAATCCGTGAGGACCGGAGGGAGTCCTCGCCCATCCACTCTAATAGGTCAGGAAACATTCAGAGGCCAGCTAGTGCCTCAAAACCGCACCGGCAGCGGGAGACGGCGCTAGGATGCACATCCACGTTAGCTTCGTCCCCACAAAACCGTCTGCCTAGTCTGCGTTATATCCGTCCCTGCACTGAGCCAGAAGACATCGCTCGCAGTATAACGTGGACTCTCACCACGGGACACTTGTATTTCTGGGTTTCTTGGTGTTCCTTAAGGGCTCTGGGATCACAATTCATGATGAGTTATGGGCCTGGCCTGATGTGTCCAACCTGTGTTTTTTCAGAAGTGCTTGAGTTTATTGAAAGACCTACCTGAGATTTGGGGGCTCTGGAAGTTGGAATCTTCATGTAGGTTCCAACTAAAATGATTTTGTCCCCTAGGTTCAGCTCCTGGTTCCCAGGAACAAAGCCGATCTTGTAAGGTTAAGAGGAATCTCACCTGGAAAGTGGCTCATCTGAGTGGAGACCTCCCACCAGGACCGCAGAACCCATAAAGAACAAGGCCAAGAAAGAGCAGATCCTAAATTTGCATGGCTGATAGCACAAAGTAACCCTTGTGTTCTGCAAGCCTCTCTTCAGACTGACAACTTGTTTGAACTGGAGAGAAGAGATGAGCTGGGCTAAGGCAAGGGGCAAATTTGCCCAGGACATTACACTTTTGAGGGTTTGAGAGAGCATAGTATGGGGGAAAGATATACCACGAACCACTAAGAAAATGTTATCTCAGACATTCCTAAAAGCCTTTGACTTATTTCAGATTCTCCACTCTTTCCAGTTCCTGAGGAGGCCTCACAACATGCCCCTTACCACACGGGGCATTGAGAGCTGTGTGTGCTTCCTTCATCCTCACTTCACAGACACGGAAGTGAGTGAAGGAAAGAGCTTCCTGGATTACTTGTTTCTGCCTAGCACGAAAGATGAAGAAAACTCAGCCCCAGACGATGAATGTCCAGGCCATGCCATTCTTAGCAGCCTAGCCAATAGTCAGATTTTCAGACACAGTTAAGTCAAACCTAGTTTCTATCAAAAGACTGAGAAACTACTGCCAAGGTAGTTAAGGACCAAAAGATGTTCTACAGGAGGACATTTCATCTAGCTAGTGTATGGAGCGTATAGGTAAGAAAACCAGGAAATGCAAGGCAGATCAGATCTCTTGTGATCCATTCTTTCTCCTCCAGCCCCACTCTTGTAGTTCTCTACATGTAGTGTCCTTGATCCCACAGAAAATAACAGATCTCAAGTGAGTTATTCTTTCCCTCCTGTTGAGTGTCTTATATGAGACTTTTTAGGGTTAGTAAGTTAGAATGGAAATACAGAAATAGATGAAAACCAATTTCAAGGGTAATATACAGGAACATATCAGTACCAGGATGAAATAATATGCAGAAATATGCAGGTTCTATGCTGTTACTATTCTGTGCTATTGTTGACCCAGTTTGCCTTTTCTCATAGCCATAGCAAAAATGCAAATGTTGTTACATGATTTGTGTTGGCCCTTAAAGAAATCATCATGCTAATTTCTCAGACAGTAAGAATCCTAAAGTTTCCTAATCTTCCTGTGGGTATCACAGTAAATAATCTTTCAGTGACTATGGGAAATGGGTGCAACCAGCTGCCTGCAATTGCTCCTCAGGGAAGCAGCACTTTGTGCTGAAGAATTCAGTCAGTTCAGGTTTCTAGGGGATGCAAGACTGTGGTCTTGCAGACCTCTTTGGTTTTGGTATGTAGGCAATGTTGGCTCCTAAAATAAGTTGGAATGGGTTTATTCCTAGAAGAGTTCATATAGAATTGTTACTATGTCTTCCATAAATGTTTGGTAGAATTCACTTGTACCATCTGGCCTGTACTTTGTGTGGGAAGGTTGTCAGCTACAAATTGTTAGTTTAATAGGGCTATTCAGTTTTCTCTTTCTTCTTGAGTGAGCTTTGGTAGTTTGTACCTTTCAACTTTTTCTTTTTCAACTAAGTTGTTGGATTTATTGGCATAATTAATAAAATTTTATGCTACTTTAGCCACACCCCACACATTGTTATATTCATTCAAAATATTTTTAGATTTTCATTGTTATTTTCTCTTTATCCCATGGCTTATTTAGAAGTCAGTAACTTCCAAATGTTTGGTGACTCTATAGATATGTTAGCAATTTCTAATTCAATTCTATTCTGGTCAGTGTACCTTGTATGATTTCCATTTTAAATTGTTTGCAACTTTTTTTTTGCCCGTAACATGTGCACTTGGAAAGAATGTGTATTATGCTGTTGTTGGAGTATTCTATAAATGTTAATCAAGTTACTTGATAATCTTATGTATCTTACCTGATTTTCTGTCCATTTGTGCTATCAATTACCCAAGTGTTGAGATTGATAATTTGCCTACAGCTATTTCAATTGTTTTTATTTCATGCATTTTGAAGTTCTGTTATAAATGTACTGGAGCTAGAAGATAACTGTTTCCTATTGGACTCACAAAAGCAGAATGCAGCTCTGTCCCTAAGGGCCATTTGATTTCTACAGAGAAGAAATTTCTCATCTTTTGCTGGAGGGTAGGTCCCTGGTTGACAGTGCACATGGTTTAGGGGAGGAGAAGTGTGTTTGGAATGAGGGGAATGTCTCAAATACAACTGAACATTAAGTTCACTGCTTTCCCTTTCATGTCTCATGTTTATAGTAGTATGCATTTCTGAGCCTGCAGCCAAACTGGTTCCTTTTTGTCCTTAATGCAAGCAGTATAAATGGCCCCTGCTTCTGCTCTGATACAATAGTTGTCCTTCATATTTCAAATTTTCATCGAGACCTCCTGTTTACTGGTGGTTTTTCTCTTGTTCTCTTCATTGCTGTGGTTTTATAAATGTAAAAAGTTTCTAGCATTTTAATGCTATCCAGAAAGATGTTCAACACAGCACATTTTCTAGTCCTTTCCCCTTACCCTTTTGCTTAGCTGACCAAACCCTGAATGATTTCTGTAGTGGCCGCAATCAGCTGCCGCATACTCCCTGTGTATTAGCTTTTCCCAGCTCTGTATCTTGAACCTGCTTGTCAGTATCACCTACTCTCAGGTACCACTCCAATGCCAGTTTTACTCTCACAACTACTTTGGGCATGTTGCTTTGGACTTTCCCTGGCTCTCATTACCTACCTTGCCTTCATGCTCAGTCATGACCCTTTTTTTGCCAATGGAAGTACAGTAAGAAAGGTCATGAAGCTGCAGATGAACTTCCCGATTTCTTCCTGGCTGTGCTGGGTCTTTGTTGCTGCCCAGTCTTTTTCTAGTTGTGGTGCGCGGGCTTCTTGTTGTGGTGGCTTTTCTTGTTGCAGGGCACAGGCTTGAGAGAGAGTGGACTTCAGTAGTTGTGGTATATGCGCTTAACTGCCCCTCAGCATGTGGAATCTTCCCAGACCAGGGATCAAACCCTGTCCCCTACATTGGTGGGCAGATTCTTAAACCACTGGATCACCAGGGAAGTACCCCATTTCTTTTTATCCCCTAACTCTGGCTGTCAGTGGGTTAAAAGATTATAATTTAGAAGTGTAACTGCAAGTAGTGATCATATATTCACCAGTATTTTGACCTTAAGATCTTAAACAATCCATATAGAAAGTAAACAACACCTACTGAGTAGGTAAGAATTTTAAGAATTTAATCTGTAACTTAGATTCTTTGCCAAATTTGTGATGGAATTATCAATCGAATACAATTACTGAGATTTCCCAAAGGTCTTTGTTCAGGTACCAGTAAAGGATCAACCTTAAGACAACCTTTCAGTTCTGAAAAAGAACCATTTTGTAACACATCTGTTTTTTTTTCATTTTCACATGTCTGAAGTTGGGATGTCTTAAAAATTAACAAAGTGTTTTCTCTTTGTCAATCTATGGCATCTTTAGGACTTGATGAAATGTGAGACATGCCCTGTTGTTCTTCCTGCATGTTTTAAAAAATAATTTTGTTTATTTTTGGCTGTGCTGGGTCTTCCTTGCTGTGTGAGCTTTTCTCTAGTTGCAGTGAGTAGAGGCTACTCTCTAGTTGCAGTTTGAAGGTTTCTCATTTGCTGTGGCTTCTGTTACAGAACACAGGCAACAGGGCATGCAGGCTTCAGTAGTTGTGGGCTTAGTAGTTGGGGCTCGTGGGCTCTAGAGCACAGGCTTAGTTGGTTCAAGCCATGTGGGATATTTTCCAATCAGGGATTGAACTTACGTCTCCTGCACTGGCAGGCGGATTCTCTATCACTGAGTCATCAGGAAGGCTCCTTTTCCTGCATTTTCATGCACAAGTTCCTTTTTCTGACTTTCTCTCCAAACTTCCTTACCACAATCAGCAAAATGCTTCCCAAGGACTCTGACCACATTTCAATTGTATTAAGAAAGTTAATGCTTAAAAGATAACAATAAAAGCTAAACAGAGTTAAAAAACATTGCTAAATTAAGGTATGTATAAAAGGAGACTTGGAAAACAGGCTAGTTTATAAACATATGAGACTTGGGCTTTAGATCTACTCTCTGGACTCACTACACATGGATTCTTATGATCATATTTGGCTCTAAATCCCAAACAGATTATATCTATCAGCCAATTAGAAGACATATGTGACAAACAAGAGTCAAATCCAGAAGAAAGTTCACATATAATCTTATGAGACCAGGGGGAACTGGGAGGGATTCATAATTCTAGAGATCACCAAAGCAGAATCACATCAGTTGTGATACCACCTTATGGTTTCCAAACTAGTGAGGGTATGTTGCAGTGCCAAAGTGCAGATGCTCAGTCACTACCCTAATCATTTTATGTGGGTGCCTCTGAGTTGGGAGTCAAATATTCTGGGATTGTCTCTTGAAGGAAAGCAAGTCTCAATCTGTCACCTTCCTCCATTTCTTATTAGACATTAGCTACACTTCCTCTAAATTTAACATGTCACTTTCCTGTTATCCATGTCCAGTTAACTGCTTCAGGTTACCTTTGATCAGGATGTACCAGTTATAACCCCACCTCTTCAAGGTAATAAATATTGCATCTATATTTTCCCCACCATTTTTTCATGTATGGATACTAGTCACTGGTGACTAACTAAAATATAGGTGACTAGGGAGCCTCTTAAGTACCACTTGGGGAATCAGTCATTGTTTAGAAAATCAGGGTTGCAATTAGTTCATTGTATTGTAACTTCTGCTTTACTTATGTATTCACTAAAAAACAATCAATTTTCTCTCAACTATTTTACAAGCTTGTTTTAACTTCTAGGAGATGATCCTTAACCCTCTGAGGTGTCCTAGCTCCATACCCCAACTGAATTATGTGTAATAGAGTACATATTTTAAGCCTTGTCATCTCAAAACATACTCTCCAAGCCTTCCCCAAGTTCCAAAGTGTAAATTTAATCAGAGAAGAGAGAAAATGCAGAAAGGGAAAACGTCAAGCAAAACAAAACAATAATAGTTTAGCTATTAAGTGAAGCAAGGACCTGTAATTCCTCCAGAATACAGATAATATTCTGAGCCATGTCCTTTGAGTTGTTTTGCAGATACTGAAACTGCCACCAGATGCAAGAGGTTAATTGTTTGCTGCCCAGAAGCAAGCAGACCCCAGATGGGTTAGAAACAGAAGGTTGATGATGTTGACTCCTAATTGCCTCACCATCAGCCAATGAGAAGAATGTCTATGAGCTGATCATGCACCCCAGAGTCCCCTGTTCCTCACCTTATGTTTCCCTGAAAGCCATCAGTTTGGGTCTGAAGAGCACTAGCTGCTTGGACTCCTTTGGTGCCCTGCAATAAATGGTGCACTTTCTTTACAAGCCAGTGTCAGTAGATTGGCTTTACTCTGCTTGGCCAAGAAGACCCAAGTCTGGCTCAGTAACAATGCTGCAAAAGCAAATGACTTTCGGGGGTTATAGCAAATATTAAAACATACTGTGCAATCATAATTTAAAGAGGGCTACTCAGGGCTGGAAGGAAATATGAAAAACACAAGGCACACGATTTGAAGAGAAAGCCAAAGTTCCAGATTCTCAGAGAGTGTGAACAAAGGAAACACGTTCTGCTTAGACAAATGTAAGGTTCCTGCACTTAGAAATGCTGGGTAGGATATGTAGCTCTAGTAACACTGGCTGAATGGCAAAGTACAGACATTTTCACTCTACCCATCTGAGCAACAAGAACAATCAATTCACTGTGTAGCATAACAAAGTGCTTGGTACTTAAATACCTTAAGTGAATGACTTTCATTGAGGGAACATATCTGAATAACTCTTACTATATCCTGAGAATGTGAAAGTAAGAGTGATGTTAGAAATACTGGAGTCTTTGGAGTAAGAGCATGTGATTGAAGACCTCATTTAATGGGGATCTTTCCTGTGGACCCGCTGGTGGATGTGGAGGTTGGAGCTCTGGCTGAAGCCCTTCCCACATTTGTTGCACTCGTAGGGCTTCTCTCCGGTGTGGACTCTCTGGTGGATGAGGAGTTTGGAGCTCTGGCTGAAGCCCTTCCCACATTTGCCGCAGTGATAGGGCTTCTCCCCAGTGTGGACTCGCAGGTGGATGCGGAGGTCTGAGCTCTGGCTGAAGCCCTTCCCGCACTCGTAGCACTGGTAAGGCTTCTCCCCCGTGTGTGAACAGCGGTGGATGTGAAGGTTTGAGCTCTGACTGAAGCCCTTTCCACACTCCCCACACTTGTAGGGCCTCTCCCCTGTGTGGATGCGCTGGTGGATGTGCAGGTTGGAGCGCTGACTGAAGCTCATACCGCACTCCCCACACTCGTAGGGCTTCTCGCCGGTGTGCACTCGCTGGTGGATGTGCAGTTTGGAGCTCTGAGTAAAGCCCTTCCCACACTTGTCGCATTTATAAGGCTTCTCACCTGTGTGGACTGAGTGATGAATAAGCAGACTTGAACTCCTGGTGAAGCCCTTCCCACACTTATCGCACTTGTAAGGCTTCTCATCTGCGTGGACTTCACGGTGGATGAGGAGACTTGAGCTCCTTGTGAAGCCCTTCCCACACTGATCACATCTGTAGGGCTTTTCTTCGGTATGGTCCCTCTGATGAAGGACTAGCTCTGAGCGCTCACTGAAGTCCCTACCACACTGACTACATCTGTACACCTTCTCTGAAGGGCGGATTTTCTCACCAGGGTGACCACCTGGGCTGGCGGTACGTGTTTTCCCACAGTCTTGATGGCTACAGGGCTTCTCCTCTGTGTGAGCTCTCTGATGATGATGACTGGCCAACCGGGATTTCCAACCGCAAACGTCTCTGTGGTTATAGTCAAAGGGCTCCAAGGATTCTTTCAACTGGCTAATATGGCAAATTGTCTCCCCTTTGAACAATGGCAAGACCACTTCTTTTACATCAGACACAAGTTTATCTTGAAGGTTCTCTGAACAATGCTCAATGGGAGGACTTTTTCCCTCTGTCAGTTTCCTCTCAGTGCTTTCTTCAGTTACAAACAGACTTTTGCTTTCCTGAGGATCCTGGGGCTCATTTTTACAGAATGAGGAGTACTGGTTGGCCATTTGGATTGGGACTTTCAAAGATGAATATTCTTCACTCTCCATGTTTTTTTTAAATCATCACTCTGAAGAGTCACCACCCTGCTTGTGGGTTCCTGGAAATATGAGAAGATTCTTTTCTCCACTCTGACAAGTAGAAAGATCCAGTTGAGGGTTACTTACACCTCCCTTTGAATATTCACAATTTAATTCTGACTCCTCCTTACTGTACTAAGCCACCTGGTCCAAAATTTGCCAGCAGGAAAGCTCTTGAGGTAATAGATAATATAAGTACTTTATCTTCATTATCCACAAAATTTTCATTCAAGTCTCCTAGGGAACAAAGGGAATTTAGTGATAACAAACGAAACTTCAAGATTTCAGAGCTGCCTAAGGTAACTAGCAAAAAGTTCAATCCTGTCCTTATACTCATGTCCTTTGGGTTAATGTCAGGAAGGGAGAGGGCTTGGGTACACAAGACAGAAATCTTGTCTCTGCTTTTAAGTACTGCCAATAAAAGTATTTGTACCCTAGCCTTGTAGAAGGTTATGAATCCCACATCCTTGTTATTCCACAATTAACATTTCATTCCATTTTACCAATTAAATGTCAATTAAAATAAAATGAAGTACCTGACTTTAATAAGTGCTTGGGATACAAGGAAGAAAATACAAATCCTTTTGCTTGATAAGCTAGAATCTACTGGGAAGAAAGCCAAATAGGTCAACAATAATGCCATGTAAGTGCTACTGTATAGATACATGCACAGCTAGTCATGGGAACACAGAGGGAGGGGCAGTTGACGCAAACCTTGGGGAAGATTTCTGGGAGCAAATGTAAGGGGAAAAAAAGTGGGATGTGGTGAGAAAATATGACATGTTCTGGAAAAGTATAAGTAGTTTCTTGTGAAGGAAATAAAACAGGTAACAGTGGTAGACTATGCCTGGAGACGAAGACAAGAGCCAGAACAAAGGGCTCAGTGTGCAGTTAGAGATCCCCTCAGAGATGTAAAGCTACTAAGGATTACAGTTGTGAGTGAAATGACTGACTCTGTGATTATAAATACCATCATAAATGAGCAAGACTTTAAGGTAGAGAGAGAGCTGCTGTAGCAAATCAGAAGAGTGATGAGGAGGATGGTTATGGAGAGAAAGGGAGAGGTTTGTTCTAAATCACATGATGACTGACTAAACTCAAAAGGGAAAGAAGGCCCCAAGCATGACTCTCAAGTCCCTTGAATGAGTGATTAGGTATGTGTTATAATATTCTAAGATAGGGGATCTTAATCTCCAAGGCTAGAGTAGGGAAGGGGAACAGAAAGCAAACTTGGGATCTGACTTTTTAAATTTGTGGTGCTGGTGGAATATTCTGATCAGTAAGTAAAACATGTGGACCTGGAGCTCCTGGGAAAGAACTGTGCTAGGAATATTTAGACTTACTATAGATGGTCCCTGACTTACGACAGCTTCACTTACAAATTTTCGACTTTATGGTGGTGTGACAGTGATATGCCTTTGAATTTTGGTCTTTTCCTGGGCTAGCAATATGCTGGACAAACCTCCCTCGTGATGCTGGGCAATGGAGCAGCTGCAGCTCCACATAGTATGTTTACAACCATTCTGTCTTTCACTTTCAGTACAGTATTCAATGAACTGCATGAGATAGTCAACACTATTATAAAACAGGCTTTGTGTTAGATGATGTTGCCCAACTGTACCAGTGGAAATGTTCTGAGCATAATTAAGGCAGGTTAGGCTAAGCTATGATGTTCAGTAGATTAGGTGTATTAAAGGCATTTTTGACTTAAAAGTATTTTTCAATTTACAATCAGTTTGTGGGGATAAAACCCAACAATAAGTTAAGGAAGATCTGTAGTATGTATGTTAGTCAAAACAATTAGGGTAAAGATCCTTATATTACACTGAAATGACCAAAATAAAAAAATCCACAATGATCTTGGAAAAAAAAGAAAGACTGCCATTACTAGAATAAAATTACTAGGGAACTCCTTGTGATAAAGTGCAGATGGATGAGGTATAATGGGGAAACACACAAACAAACAAAAAACAAATGCACAGCTCAAATTACATACAGAAAAAGGCTCCTGAAGAAGCAGGAGAATGTCTGAAGAAGTCCAAGAAACTAAAATTCCAAGCTCAGAATCAACTATTCTGAAGTAAGAGAGGTTTATTCTGGAAGTAGGTTTATTATATCACGTTGGGCATTTCTAATGTCTTGACTAGTTGTTGCCATTAGTAGTGTCACTGTCCCAACTACCCTCTTCCCCACAAAAAAATGAAAAACTAGGAGGTTAAGGGTAGTGGCCCCATATAAAGCTTCAAAAACAAACTGTTTGCAAAGAAGGACTCCTAATAGTATGATTTGGGCTGAAGACAGCAGCATAAGTTGAGGTAATGCCAAACCTGTACAATGACAGGACTGAGGTATAAAAAGAAGCAACCAACTCCACATGTGCCCAGGATAAAGCCTCAAGCTAATCTGTGAGGTGGAATTTCTGACCAGAAGGACATCCCAGAGCTGGAAACTGAAGCAGGGCATGTCCCAGATAACATACTGGCCTTAAGAGGCAATTTCAAAAAAAGGGTCTACATCACTCACCATCTGGGTTCTTATTAGATTCATCCCAAGCCCAGTCAGCAGAGATGTCCCCTGTAAGCTGAATACACATGCACCGAAAAAGGACGGAGCGTCAGCTGAGGGTGGCACACTCCCGTATCATGCTGCGAACAGAAGACTTTTGAAAAAAAAGAGAGAGAGAGACAATAAACATAAGGAAACAAACAAAAAAAGTAGAAACTAACATCAATAAAGAGAGGTGCAAACTCATGAAACAGTAAACAGAGGTAACAGAATTGAAAAGGTTCATAATGAAAATCCCAGAGAAATCTGAGGGGCTATCACATCTAAAAAAACTATGACCTAATAATAAAATATAAACACATTGCTATAAAGAATAATTAGAATTTTTCTACATTAATAAAAAGATTGAAAACAATGCAATCATAATATTTGAGACTTGTTGTTCAGACACCTAGTTGTGTTTGTCTCCTTACAACCCAAGGACTGCAGCATGCCAGGTTTCCCTGTCCTTCACTATCTCCCAGAGTTTACTTAAACTCATGTCCATTGAGTTGGTGATGCCATCCAACATTTAAGATTTACTGTCCTCATCTGGAGCACTCAGACAGCAGATGCATGATTCTACGTGAGAAAAACTATTAGGACACTCATCCTACACTGGAAGAACCAAGGTTAAAATGATCAAGTAATATGTGTCATAGCTACTGTCAGGCAGTCTGATTTTAAGGTCTGCAATGTAGATGGGTTGAATAGCTAAATGAATATCCACCTAAAATGAAGACTGAGGGGTACTCAAGGAATGCAAAGTAAAGGTAGACAGATGGAATGATAAAAGCCTATGTTGTGGGAGTTCGATAAATATAGTGGAGGTAGAATGAAGAGAAATGATCAAAGAATTAACAGGGAAAAAAGTTTTCTTAGAATTTAGGAGTCAGGGCTCACTAAATGTTAAAAATTGTCTGTGGAAAAAAAAAATTGTCTGTGAAACCTCAGGACTTCAAAAAAACAAAAAAACTAAAAAAATACAACCCCAGAAAATGCTAAAAGCATCTAGACAGAAAAGCCAGGTTATGTGCAAATACAAATGAGAATTATATTGACAGTGAACTACGGAACAGCAGTATTGTATACTGAAGATAAATGAGCAATATCTTCTAATTTAGGAAGTAAACTGTAAAATTAGCCTTCTATCTCATACCCAAGTCAATCAGTAGACTGGCTAGACACTTTTTCAGGTAAGAAAGGATTTAAAAAATTACTGAAACAATTATTCAGCAGTGTACTGTAGTAAAAATTTTTAAATTAAGAAAAAGATGACATACAAGAAATAGCAGTGAGCATTAAGAAATCAATAAAACAGACAAGATGAATCAAGTGTTGATATATAAAAGAAAACAGTAATTAACCAAATCAACCAAAATGCTCTAGAAATGGAATGGAAAGGGAAAAACCTGAAATATATTTTGAAAAGCAAAAATTAGTTGTAGGAAAAGGAAAAAACAAAAAAAGGAACTGTATATGTATACTATTTGACTCTGCAGGAACAAGAGTTATGAAGTCAAAGCAATGTAAATATTAATCACTGAAGTAACTCTGACGTAAACTCTTGGGATGATGGGCATGTTGGAAATAATGAAGTCAATACAAAATATCAAATATTAATAAACTGAAAAAATAGCAGTATATCATAATGTAATAAATTAAAATTAAAACTACCTGTTAACACTGGTTAAAAACCCAAAGCCCGCTGACACATGTTGCTTGTGAATGTAAATTGGTATCATCCCTCAAGAAGGACATTTTAACAATTATGTGTCAAAATCACAAATGTATGTACTCAGCAGTCCATCTCAGGGGTTTTATTCTTCAGATTTCTTGGCACAGTTGTGAGTGCTACTTGCACAAGATTTATTCACTGCAGACGGCTTCTGACAGCGAATGATCAGAATTCTACATATAGATCCTACCTTCACTTTTGCCTCTCCACAAACCAGTCTCTATCAA